CCCTAGGAGCTAGCGACCACGTGGTTCTGTGCTTTGAATACATAGTAGAGCTGCAAGTGGAGAGATAACAGGAGTAGAATGGAAAAGCCTGACTATAAAGAGGGGATACATAGGGTTGAAGAACTTCCTGCGGGAGGTCCAGTGGGACAGAGAACTGGCAGGAAAGCCAGTAAATGAATGATGGAATATGTAGCAAAAAAAATGTAAGGAGGCAGTGGAAAGGTTCATTTCCCAAGGGAAAACAGTAACAACGGGAAGACCAGAACAAGCCCCTGGTTTCCCCGACGGTGTAAGGAGGCAAAAACAAGTGCAATAGAGAATGGAAAAGTACAAAAGGCAGAGAACACACGAAAATAGAGAGATCAGTCGCAGAGCCCGGAATGAGTACGCACAGGTAAGGAGGGAGGCCCAGCGACAGTATGAAAATGACATAGCATCGAGAATCAAGGACTGACCCGAAACTGTTGTATAGCCACATCAGGAGGAAGACAACAGTCAAAGACCAGGTGATAGATTAAGGACAGAAGGTGGAGAACTCACAAGAAATGATCAGGAGGTATGTGAGGAGCTGAACAGGAGATTTAAGGAAGTTTTTACAGTAGAGACAGGAAGGGTGTGGGAAGACAGCACAGAAGGGAACATCAAGAGGGAATATACCAACAAGTGTTGGATGACATACGAACAACTGAGGAGGAGGTGAAGAAGCTCTTAAGTGACCTTGATAAATCAAAGGCGATGGGACCGGACAACATCTCCCATGGGGTCCTTAGAGAAGGAGCGAGATGCTGTGTGTGCTTCTAACCACAATCTTCAACACATCCCTTGAAATGGGCAACTCCTGAGAAATGGAAGCAGAAAAGTAGTCCCCCTATTTAAGAAAGGAAACAGAAACGAGGCACTAAACTACAGACCTGTGTCTCTGAAAGTATTGTGTGAAAAAACATGGAGAAGATTATCAGGAGGAGAGTGGTCGAACACCTGGAAAGGAACAAGATTATAAATGAAAACCAGCATGGGTTTTATGGAAGGCAAATCTTTTATCACAAACCTCCTGGAGTTTTATGACAAAGTAACAGAAGTAAGACACGAGAGAGAGGGTTGGGTAGATTGCGTTTTCCTAGACTGCGGAAGCCCTTTTACCAGTTCCCCACAAGAGATTAGTGCAGAAGCTGGAGGATCAGGCACAGTAAAAGGAAGGGCACTGCAATGGATAAGGGAATGCTGACAGGGGGCAGCAACGAGTCATGGTACGTGAAGAGGTATCACAGTGGGGACTGTTACGAGCGGGGTCCCACAGGGGTCAGTTCTGGACCAGTGCTATTTTTGATATATGTGAACGACATGATGGAAGGGAATAGACTCTGAAGTGTCCCTGTTCGCAGATTGGGCGTGAAGTTGATGAGAAGAATTAAATCGGACGAGGATGAGGCAGGACTGCAAAGGACCTGGAGAGGTGGACATGTGGTCCAGTAACTGGCTTCTCGAATTCAATCCAGCCAAATGCAAAGTCATGAAGATTGGGGAGGGGGCAAAGAAGACCGCAGGACAGAGTATAGGCTAGGTGGACAAAGACTCAGCCCTCACTCAGGGAGAAAGACCTTGGGGTGACCATAACACCGAGACATCACGGAGGCACACATCAACAAATAACCCGCTTGCAGCATACGGGCGCCTGGCAAACTGAGAATGGGCTTTCCCGTTTCCCTTAAAAGGAATCGTTCAAGACAACTGTACACTGTGTATGTTAGGCCCTATGGAGTATGCAGCACCAGTCTGGAACCCACACCTGGTCAAGCAGTCAAGAAGTTAGAGAAAGTACAAAGGTTTGCAAAAAGGCTAGCCCCAGAGCTAAAGGGAAATGTCGTACGAGGAAAGGTTAAGGGAATCGGACTGACGACACTGGAGGCCCGAAGGGTCAGGGGAGACATGATAAGACTACAAGGGTACTGCGGGGAATAGACAAGGTGGACAGAGATGGATGTTCCCAGACAGGGGACACAGGGATAAGGGGTCACAACTGGAAGCTGAAGACTCAGACGAGTCACAGGGACGTTAGGAAGTATTTCTTCAGTCATAGAGTTGTCAGCAAGTGGAATAGCCTAGCAAGTGAAGTAGTGGAGGCAGGAACCATACATAGTTTTAAGAAGAGGTATGACAAAGCTCAGGAAGCAGAGAGAGAGAGGATCCAGTAGCGATCAGTGAAGAGGCGGGGCCAGGAGCTGAATCTCGACCCCTGCAACCACAATTAGGTGAGTATAACACTCACTCACTCACACTCACACACACACACACACACACACACACACACACACACACACTTCTATGTATACACCCCAGCATATGTGAATCCATTCCAACAACCACAATTGCAAAGCTCATCACTGGAATCCACAGCAATTTTAACAGGACAGCATAACAAATGTACATATAACACGGATGTACCAGAGCGAGAAACGTTATTAAACTATTATCTAACATGTTGGGACGAATATCAGTAATTGTGCAAGTGATGTGCAGGATCAGTTTCTACTTACGTGTTGATCACTTTGTGCTTTGTACTTAACTACTTGTATTAGCCTGTTCGTGGTTGCAGATGTCGAATCTATTTTCCTCAGCTATAACAACTCCGGCAGTTTACGAATAGTCAACAAATTTTAATAGCTATATTCTTTTTATGTGATAAGATAGACCGTACCTTCTAATACCACAATGAAAACGTGCGCTGTGATAACGGACACTACAGTGTATCCCGTTGCGTCGTTTGACGAGTGTTTTGGTCCATGATTGATAAATTCTCTCGTAGTTCATAGCAGCCGCACGGGTTGGAAGGGTTAATGACTCGTGGATATGCAATGGTCAACTGGGAATTGGAATTAACAGGTAATACTGACCTTTTTTGAGGATAGTGTGTCATTTTATCATTCCTACTTTGCATTGCTTTAATTTTATATTAGTGTTAAAATTTCTATTACCATTTACGAATACTGTAGTTTTACATACTTAGAATTTATTTTGACTATCAGCGTCATGGGACGCTTGCAACATGGACTGCCAGTTATGAATGAAAAAAAATATTAGTTTATTTTATAGGCATGTATAAATGTACTAAGATGTCACGGAGTTTGTCTTCTCTCAGAAACAAAGGCATATTAATGTAATATGGACGACAACTGGCGACTGGAGAAGCCAGTCGGGATAAAATAAGACTGGGCATGATACACTAGCTTGTTTGTGCACTGAAGGCTAACTATAGAGGAATAAAAAAGGCACAATACCGTGACTGGAACAATGCACAAAGAAGCCATATATGAAATACAGAGAATTGTATCTATATTCCACTTACTCAAATCAAACCTGATTACGCTCTGTGATGTTTATATTTAGTGCTTTCCCATGAATACGATAATAAATTTTATCATTATTTATATTTAATTATTATTATTATTATTAACAGCAAAAACAACCCGAGATTGGGTCGACTACAGATACTTTTGTAGTCTCTGAACTTTAAGACGACAACTTACCCTGCGGGAGGCGGAGTGTTTCGTAAAAGTACGTTCCAACGAAGCATGTGACCAAGACTCCAGCACGAACGAACTCTTCAAGGCGGAAACTCGAGAAGTTTGTCACAAACTTATTCACCTCTCACACTGTAATTATTTCCCGAAACTTTTAAGCTCTTCTGTTGAAAAACGAGGAAAAAAACAATTTATGAGTTGGCATCGAGGTGAGCAAGAAAAATTAAGTTTCGTGGGAATTAATGAGAGAATCTGTAGGCTTTCGTTTAGCAACGACTGACGGATGACTAGGTTTTACGATAGACTGGATTGAGAAAATGTAAATAGATTTCATGATTTGATACGTTGGAATCAAATTGGTTGACAATAGTAAGAAAACGTTTGCAATAAGAACAGTTCTTAATGTATTACTGGGAAAACTAAAATTCTAATGTCATCGAAGCGATTCCTTGAAGCAAGGTAACCAAACGAAAGTTTTGAACGTTTTAAATCACAAAACTATGGTTGAAACAATGAACAAAAAAATTTTTTGGAAAGATCTTCAATTTAAATTTGAACTTCATGTTTGCATTAAAAAAAAAATTGTCAACGAACGCCAAGTTTGTTTTAAATAACGTTACATTTATCTTGAACGTCAATTGTACCTTGAGGAGCCTCAAGTCTGTCTTAAGAAATGTCAAGTTTGTAGTGAGAGAGAACAACATACCCTTCTCCAGAACATCACTTCATCTGAGATCATTTATCCCCAGGATGACTCGAGTATGGAACACATTCGTACAGCATTATGATAACGAGAAAAAGTCAGTTGATCAAATTAAAATGCTGGCTTACAGATGGCTCCAACTTCATCCTGTTCCATACTTGTATGTCTCATAACAATAAAAAGCTTTCAAATGGCGATGTAGGTAA